ACCAACATGACTCGGTCCGCTTGTCAATGACTTCATGGATTTCTGCCGTGTTTTGGTCCGGACGCCCCTAGCTTTCTTCCAACCTATTGCTGGATGGCAAAACATAGCTCGTCGAGGCAGTCGGTGGTTAGGCATACGCAACACCTGTCCCAACCGTCTCAACTGATGAAGTTTAATACGTAGTCTGTTGATTTGTTATCCCTACCTAGTACTCGTTTTCTAACGACAGCATTGCTTATTTCGTCGTCCCAGGATATACGATTAATGCTTCTAAGACATCTATGATTGAGGAACAATAACCTACGAATATCTTCTACTCTGACTGACGGATATCTCGCCTACACTATTAGTGACGTAGGTTGGCCAAAGCCTATCTAGCCTTCTGTATCGGTTCCGAGCTTTCGTCACACCAAGCCATCAGCACTTATGGTACTCTCGAGATAAATAAAGCGATCAACACGCTCAACTGCTTCACCTCATCACTAGATCAAGTGCCAATACAAGCCAATCCTGAGGCGACATCTTGCATTTCTACGGGGAGAATCGCACATCGAACATACTTGCATTGATGCTCAAGGTGGTCAGAAGACTGCCTTTTGTCAGCGTCTTCACCAAGTAGAACTGTCACCAGCATAGTCTAAGTCAACAAGTGAGTCTCCTGGTGAAAGTTCCACTCCTGAAAATTTAGACTGGTATCCAGTCTAAGAGAGCTAGTTTTGCCCTAGGACTTAATACTATACATACGCCGGCGATGCTACGGGAAGAGCATCAAGCATACTTGAAATACCAAGCGTAAACCGTGTCATTTCTCTATTTGCACGAGGTGAAATCAAATTGATGATTTTACTCGGATCATGTATGAGCGTCTCGGAGACTCAACATAAATCGATTTCATGGGATTCAAGAATTCTAGCTAATGAAGCCTGTTGCACTGTTTGGCTCAAGGTCCGAACCTTTAAAGCTCCAATATCTAGTTTAGAGCGGGGTTTCAGGAGACCAGGAATAACCGTTTGCTTCGGCGGCGCGAGTCGACAAACGATAGAAAGAAAGGTTGTTCGAGGAGATAATAGAGTTATTAGGAGGTGAAGAAAGGATAAGATTTTGACAGATTCGGTCTCGTGGAAGGGCTCTAGTTGTCGGAAGGGACGTCGGCTTCATGGCTTCCGAAAGAACTCGGCTTTCATCATGAGACGTTATACATTTCTAAATGAAGACCCTCTAGCTCCCAGAGCAGAGTTTAAATAGTTTGAATTAATTTTTCTTGTTAGTGTTTTCTAGTGAGTTAGTTTTTGCAAGATCAATCCCAATCCTTCTATTTTAGCCGGCTTTGTGACCGACGGTAGCCCTGGAGGGTCTTCTAATAGTGGTCTAACAATCTCTGATTCATGATTTCGATGAAACTCAACAACCTTCACAACTGTATAATATAAATCAATCTTTTTAAAACTTATCAGCGATGAAATTTCACCAAGTAAACTTAGTTACAGATTTCAAATAAAAGAAAATTATGAGGGGAATAAGATTTTTATTTCTCGTTAGTGGAACCCAGCTATAGAAGTTGATAAGTTAGTTTTATCAATTAGAAATAACGATTTTATTTATTCCTTATGCTACTAAATACGTAAGATTTGTAGTGCTGAATGAATTATTCCGGTTTGAGCATAATCGTTGAGAAAGTGTTTATTTTCAATTCGTTTTCTCTTTATCTTTCTATAATAATAATTACAATATCATGATTCATATCATCAAAATATATAGGAAATTTTGAGATGATCGTTTTAGATTGAACATGTGTGTATGTTGATAACAGTACTAGTATTAGTGTTGATTTCTCCAACCATAATTGCTTAGTGAACCCTAGTTCATGCATGTTTAAATCAAATGAGGAATTTCAGCTCCTTTGAAATTCCAAACCCATGTTTAGTTAATGCCTCTGGTATCTTGCATTACCTATTATTGCTATTCAGTAAAATTTCATATTTGTACTAAATCTGATAACTAGAACGCCTAATGACTGAGTGATATGTAATATTAGGTAGTGCTACACTATCTTAAATCTTAGGTGAACCTGTATTTTTTGTGATATAACGAGAAATATGGTATGCTATGGTAATGCGATAATGAGATTGGTATGGGTGACCGAGTTTGTACTACCACCAGGCTGGATACTTGAACAGTACACTACTTAGAGACTGGATCAAGCTGTATCAGATAGCTGATTCATGACCAAAATAGAGAACCAGAGTGGGCGATAGATAGTAATTTATTCCCCACAATTACAAACAGAAATCTTAGTCAGTCCGGAGTAGAAATCACGTACCTAATAGTTAATAGGACAAGTGATTGTTTGTCCGCATTCAATGATCGACCATATTTTATTTTCAGTACCACACATCACCTTCCACTCTAAATTCTTAAGTAGTTTTCGTTTTACATTTATTTGAAAAAAATCGGGTCAGCATTCTGAACCAACTAGACATGTTTGCTCTTACAGTGCATGGATTTATCTCCTCACCCATGAAATGATGTACAATATTTTTATTGCAATGTTATGCACAATTTGGCTTTCCTGATTTTTTTAACTAAGAGATTTAGTTGTACTTACTATTCCGACTGTTCTTCATTTAAGTCATCAACCGATTTATTTATCCATTACTTCATCACAGAAATAAATAATCTTACCTATTGTTAGTTAGCCTTCAGTTGCTTTTCAACCAATCAAATCATTCCACAATTTAGGGATATCTTGAATCATAGAGAGAAGTTTGGTTGGTTGCAAGTATTTCAATCTTCACCCACAATTTAAAGATAATGTACATCATAGATTGATTAATTAGACCACAACTGAAAATCAAGACGCACTGAATGGATAACTGTTTTGTTTTAGTATGGAATTCGTCTTCTGAAATTCATTTTTAATACATTGACACACTATATATATATATATATAAATATATATATATATATATATATATATATATATATATATATATATATATATATATCATTGATTATCTGAAACTGTCATAACAATTGATTGATTAGATAATTGAGATTTCATTGTATAAATGATTCAATACTCACTATTTAAATGATGTAGGAAGCACGGCGTTTGTATGCAACACGACGTTTGCTAGACTAAACTATAAGCTTTTGATATGTGTGTGTCAATCCAATACTTTAACCTAGGTCATCTATATTTTAATCACATGACCAAATGAGACATCTAGCCAATGATAGTTAATTTGTACACTGATAGGGTGGTGTGTGATAAGAGAGAACAACAAACATTATGGTGATATGAAGTGAATTCATTTCATTTTGTGTGCTCTCGACTTCTTTCATACCCAATGATATTTATCAATAAATAAAATGTTTTACAAATGTAATATTATAGCTAATCTGTATAAATTTATCTAGTTCATTAGTAAGAAATATTCATGATTACTTCTCATATTCATACAAGTTCAGTTCATAGGTGAACGAATTATGTCATATAATAAACATGAGCAAATTGTTATAACAATGATAGACAGAATGATGAGCGATAGTAATTATCAATGGTGTTAATCATACTAATGATAATAATGATAAGAAGAAAACGGATGACTAAATCAATAAGAGATGAAACGTTCTATTGAATAATAGTTGTAGTAACCATAAGCTAAGAAAGAAAATATAACTGAAATGAAGAATAAAAATTCTGTGTTAACCACAAAATGAGTATGAAGACAAACAAATGTTAACAGTTTTAAAAAGGCGAAAAGAAACATTTATACGATATTAGCATTGAAACTGTTGTAATCGCTATGCCAAGTGAACCACAGTTGCTTCTCGTACACACAAGTTGGGGCTGAAAAACGCAAACAACGACTGTTTCTGTCTTTCAGGATCGAATCTTTCTTAATATATTCTGAGATTCTCTTAGATATCACACGCTCTTCGTTTTTCCAACGTGTACGTGGTACTGCAGGTACAGGTGAATAGGTAGATACATTCCTAGGTAGCTAGAGAAGGTCTAGTATCTAAGTAACGCTTTCGTTGGATATGTAATAATTAAGTGTTGGCATTTGTATAGGTTAGTACAGTACTGATCCCTAGTCTAAGATCATCCCTTTTGAATGGATGTTTGACAACTACATTCTTTTTACGAACAATGGCTTACTGTTGCATCTCACTTGTCTACTTAAAACTCTTATTTATGAACTTCATTTGATAAGTTATTTTCATTTAATTTCCTTTAAATTATTATCAGTTTGATGTTTAGAGGATCTTTGAAACATAGTTTGGTTATTCTTAATAACAGCCTTCTAACAGGACTCCTTTTATGACTAGACTAAAGCTATTTGAATCCCGGAAGTCATATAGTAGATATGACGTTAAATTGAACGGATTTCGTTTACTATTACTAAGTTAGCGAAATTAATTGTAGAACACGTTTGATACTTAAATGTCAATTTTCTAGATTCTGAATTAGCAGATTTCAACTTCTCAGTATATCATCACAATGATCTCAGCTGTTACATATAATAATAATAATAATAATAATAATAATAATAATAATAATAATAATAATACCAATGTATTTCCATAAAAGAAAAAAAAATATTTTCCATTAAATCAAAGCTTGATAGAGATCTATCTGACAGCATTATTGTTTATTTGTATACGTTGTTCTAATTCACGAAACAGGAATTTTTAATTTCGTATCTATTTGTAACAGGTATTTGAATAGCAAATATGTGTAGATGCTCTGTCATACAGTTTTATTGAAGAATATTCAAATACACGTAAATTAAAAAGTGGAAAATATGAATTACTTTGTAGACTTGATTGATGGTTTCTGTCTGTATAATTAAATGTTTTAAGATAACGCGACATATAAAGATATAATTGATAACTTGTCAGATAGGATAAACCTAGACATCAGTAGAATTTTTGTTTTACAGTTAACATTTCTGAACAGTTGTTCAATAAAAGTGTAATTTCAATTATTTCAGATCAAAAACAATCAAAAAAGAAACGAAAACGAAGGCATAGAAGTCATACAAACAGTTCTAGTAGTAATTCTTATTGTTCTAATTCATTAAAACGAATAAAAGAATCGCCAGCTGAAGAAAAGGTGATTACGTCAGTGAAAGGAGATCCAGTTGTATATCCACCATGTGTACGTCTTATGGTACTGGCATCAGAATGTGCTCAACCAGGACAATTATTTTTAATAACATCTCAAGAATCAATTGATGGATGGGGCTGCATCGGAAGATCATCAATATTATGTCCATCAGCTCATTTACCAAACGACCCGGAGATAAGCGAGGTAAATGAACCTTCGATTATTTATTCGTAAATTTATCATTCTCGAGAAAAAAAGTACCATTTTACGTACATAAATATTCATGAACCAATCAGATTATATGATCATAGACCACATTTCAACATAGAAAACGAACAAATAAAGCGAGTGTTTCAGAAAAAAATACTTAGTCATTTGTGAGGTGTGGGTTTCTTTCACGAATGCCCTGGCCCCAGGTGGAGGCTCGCCATTGCACTCCGGCGTGTTGAAGCCTGCGACGATCCCTAATCGGGCTCGCTCGGACGCGTAGTTTTTGTCAGTGGGGAGGTCCTCGGACCATCCCTTTGAATAATAACATAGATCGCTCTGAACTCGACCGGTTTCCACTGCACACTATCCATCATCATCTACCATGCCATGTACACATTCAATCCTACCGAAAAACACCGGCCAGTCGCTCCAACATACACACACACACACACACACTCTATGCACACATGTTTATTCACTCGTTCCATAACACACCACTCCGTCACAACCCATCACACAGGCATTACTCCACTCGTACTTCAAAAACTAGATACCCAATATCATGATGTTCTCATGATTCATTCACATTCTCATCATTGGCAAATCTCCTCACACTCTGTTACTTCACTAGACCGATTCACATAGATGGTCGGTCATAGTTAGGTTGTGATTAGGATAGCACTATTCCATTGGAAGATAATTATCGTGAATTATGTGTTTACATGTATATATATATATATATATATATATTTATATAATTATATAAAGAATTGGTTTGTGTTTATGAGTGACCGGAGCTGGTCGATTTTGGATGATGTGAGTTGTGGTTGAGTGGCTGATGTGACGGTTTTGATTGTTTGTGTATAAGCAATCTCTCGTTCTTTTTAAGTTTACCAACCGTACACATGATATCAATCTCTCTCTCTCTCTCTCTCTCGCTATGTATATATATGTATATATATATGCATATAAATGCATAGCATATATGTAAATAGCATAGTTTGGCTAGTAGTTTGAGGAGTTGGGTTGGTGCTCGGTGTCTTTGTTGACGGATTGGTGATGTTTGTGACGATAATGTGTCTGATGTGATTGTATATGATGACTTGCGTTGGATGAACAGGAAGGATGTTTGTGTGATTGTGCATAGAGTGAGTGTTGGTGAATGTGTATGGATCACTGTGAGGTGTTGATGACTAAGAGTAATGTTGTTGACTGAGATGCATTGTGTCAGTGAGTATGGTGTGTTTGTTTTGAGTTGACGGTGAGGTGTGTTGACGAGAAGTGCAGTGTATTGTGTAGAGTGATGGTAATTGGTATTTGTAGGATGTGTGTGTTTCTTTCGATATTTGGCATTGATTTAGTGCGATGCAACTGTTCACGTTGAATGTGATGTTGGATGCAGTCTACTGAATTGATGTAAAGTAGTATAGATGGGTAGTGTTTGTTGGGATTGGAATTGATGTGGACGCGTGTATTGTGAATTAGATGGTGATTTGAGTTGAGAATTAGTTAGTAGTAATGAATGTCCATGTGGTGAGACAGTTGTATTGTGATGTGAATTGTTGTATATGTTGTATGTGATAGTTGTTTGCTAATTGATGAATTGGTTTATAGTAGTGCAGTATAATGGGTATGTTAGAGTTGAATGGTGTGCTTAAACTTACTTGGCGCCGGGACCAGGGTGATCACGAATGCCCTGGCCCCAGGTGGAGGCTCGCCATTGCACTCCGGCGTGTTGAAGCCTGCGACGATCCCTAATCGGGCTCGCTCGGACGCGTAGTTTTTGTCAGTGGGGAGGTCCTCGGACCATCCCTTTGAATAATAACATAGATCCCTCTGAACTCGACCGGTTTCCACTGCACACTATCCATCATCATCTACCATGCCATGCACACATTCAATCCTACCGAAACACACCGGCCAGTCGCTCCAACATACACACACACACACACACTCTATGCACACATGTTTATTCACTCGTTCCATAACACACCACTCCGTCACAACCCATCACACAGGCATTACTCCACTCGTACTTCAAAAACTAGATACTCAATATCATGATGTTCTCATGATTCATTCACATTCTCATCATTGGCAAATCTCCTCACACTCTGTTACTTCACTAGACCGATTCACATAGATGGTCGGTCATAGTTAGGTTGTGATTAGGATAGCACTATTCCATTGGAAGATAATTATCGTGAATTATGTGTTTACATGTATATATATATATATATATATATATATATATATATATGTATATTTATATGAAGAATTGGTTTGTGTTTATGAGTGACCGGAGCTGGTCGATTTTGTATGATGTGAGTTGTGGTTGAGTGGCTGATGTGACGGTTTTGATTGTTTGTGTATAAGCAATCTCTGGTTCTCTTTAAGTTTACCAACCGTACACATGATATCAATCTCTCTCTCTCTCTCTCTCTCTCGCTATGTATATATATGTATATATATATATGCATATAAATGCATAGCATATATGTAAATAGCATAGTTTGGCTAGTAGTTTGAGGAGTTGGGTTGGTGCTCGGTGTCTTTGTTGACGGATTGGTGATGTTTGTGACGATAATGTGTCTGATGTGATTGTATATGATGACTTGCGTTGGATGAACAGGAAGGATGTTTGTGTGATTGTGCATAGAGTGAGTGTTGGTGAATGTGTATGGATCACTGTGAGGTGTTGATGACTAAGAGTAATGTTGTTGACTGAGATGCATTGTGTCAGTGAGTATGGTGTGTTTGTTTTGAGTTGACGGTGAGGTGTGTTGACGAGAAGTGCAGTGTATTGTGTAGAGTGATGGTAATTGGTATTTGTAGGATGTGTGTGTTTCTTTCGATATTTGGCATTGATTTAGTGCGATGCAACTGTTCACGTTGAATGTGATGTTGGATGCAGTCTACTGAATTGATGTAAAGTAGTATAGATGGGTAGTGTTTGTTGGCATTGGAATTGATGTGGACGCGTGTATTGTGAATTAGATGGTGATTTGAGTTGAGAATTAGTTAGTAGTAATGAATGTCCATGTGGTGAGACAGTTGTATTGTGATGTGAATTGTTGTATATGTTGTATGTGATAGTTGTTTGCTAATTGATGAATTGGTTTATAGTAGTGCAGTATAATGGGTATGTTAGAGTTGAATGGTGTGCTTAAACTTACTTGGCGCCGGGACCAGGGTGATCACGAATGCCCTGGCCCCAGGTGGAGGCTCGCCATTGCACTCCGGCGTGTTGAAGCCTGCGACGATCCCTAATCGGGCTCGCTCGGACGCGTAGTTTTTGTCAGTGGGGAGGTCCTCGGACCATCCCTTTGAATAATAACATAGATCCCTCTGAACTCGACCGGTTTCCACTGCACACTATCCATCATCATCTACCATGCCATGCACACATTCAATCCTACCGAAACACACCGGCCAGTCGCTCCAACATACACACACACACACACACACTCTATGCACACATGTTTATTCACTCGTTCCATAACACACCACTCCGTCACAACCCATCACACAGGCATTACTCCACTCATACTTCAAAAACTAGATACTCAATATCATGATGTTCTCATGATTCATTCACATTCTCATCATTGGCAAATCTCCTCACACTCTGTTACTTCACTAGACCGATTCACATAGATGGTCGGTCATAGTTAGGTTGTGATTAGGATAGCACTATTCCATTGGAAGATAATTATCGTGAATTATGTGTTTACATGTATATATATATATATATATATATATATTTATATAATTATATAAAGAATTGGTTTGTGTTTATGAGTGACCGGAGCTGGTCGATTTTGGATGATGTGAGTTGTGGTTGAGTGGCTGATGTGACGGTTTTGATTGTTTGTGTATAAGCAATCTCTCGTTCTCTTTAAGTTTACCAACCGTACACATGATATCAATCTCTCTCTCTCTCTCTCGCTATGTATATATATATATATATATATATATATATATATACATATAAATGCATAGCATATATGTAAATAGCATAGTTTGGCTAGTAGTTTGAGGAGTTGGGTTGGTGCTCGGTGTCTTTGTTGACGGATTGGTGATGTTTGTGACGATAATGTGTCTGATGTGATTGTATATGATGACTTGCGTTGGATGAACAGGAAGGATGTTTGTGTGATTGTGCATAGAGTGAGTGTTGGTGAATGTGTATGGATCACTGTGAGGTGTTGATGACTAAGAGTAATGTTGTTGACTGAGATGCATTGTGTCAGTGAGTATGGTGTGTTTGTTTTGAGTTGACGGTGAGGTGTGTTGACGAGAAGTGCAGTGTATTGTGTAGAGTGATGGTAATTGGTATTTGTAGGATGTGTGTGTTTCTTTCGATATTTGGCATTGATTTAGTGCGATGCAACTGTTCACGTTGAATGTGATGTTGGATGCAGTCTACTGAATTGATGTAAAGTAGTATAGATGGGTAGTGTTTGTTGGGATTGGAATTGATGTGGACGCGTGTATTGTGAATTAGATGGTGATTTGAGTTGAGAATTAGTTAGTAGTAATGAATGTCCATGTGGTGAGACAGTTGTATTGTGATGTGAATTGTTGTATATGTTGTATGTGATAGTTGTTTGCTAATTGATGAATTGGTTTATAGTAGTGCAGTATAATGGGTATGTTAGAGTTGAATGGTGTGCTTAAACTTACTTGGCGCCGGGACCAGGGTGATCACGAATGCCCTGGCCCCAGGTGGAGGCTCGCCATTGCACTCCGGCGTGTTGAAGCCTGCGACGATCCCTAATCGGGCTCGCTCGGACGCGTAGTTTTTGTCAGTGGGGAGGTCCTCGGACCATCCCTTTGAATAATAACATAGATCCCTCTGAACTCGACCGGTTTCCGCTGCACACTATCCATCATCATCTACCATGCCATGTACACATTCAATCCTACCGAAACACACCGGCCAGTCGCTCCAACATACACACACACACACACACACTCTATGCACACATGTT